TGAGCGTTCACACGCTTTGTTAGTTCAGTTCTATTCTCTCTAGTGATGGTCGTCCTCTGGTTCAGCTCTTTCTTACTCATTGTGTTGTCCATCCGATCGCTCTAGCGGAGTATTGCCATCGACCTTGTGCTTTGGCACTTACGCATGTTATGTTCCAGATATGATGGCAGTTGCCAAGCGCACTGCAATAGGTGATGCCCATATACTCCAGTCCGCGGTTGGCAATGGCCCCCAGCTCCTTGGCAGTCTGCGGACGCTTACTTTTCTCAGTAGTCATGGGGTGGGCCGTTTATTCCTTCGACCTTGGTCTCTTTCTTACGACGAGCTATGTGCTTAGGCGAATTCTCCATGTGCTTGACTACCTTTGTCTGAGATACAAAACGCTTGAATATAGTTCGATTCGATCACGCGACCTGATCGTTCAGAAAGAGCTTCTTGATCAGACTTTTGAGCCCTAGCTGACAATGTCCCTTTCTTCTCGCCTATAGAATTATCTCACTATTTTTGACTTTGAGCCTGTCAAGTCCTTCTTTTGACCCATTATATGCCAATAAGATAGGTGTTAAGGAGCTGTTTTGCCTAATTAGATATGCCAACATCTCTGAGATAACTCATGGAGTGTGTTTGAGTTTACATCTAAGAAGACTTTTGCTACACCCCTTCTTGCATACATTAATGCGCTGAGCTAGTTCATACCCTAATCCTGCATTAAGTGTCCATAGGATGTGACCAAGCAAGGAAAAGTGGGCATTTCGAGCCTATAATTACAGTACGCTGGTGCAATAGTAAGACACAACCATGCATCTCTCTGGAATGTAGAAGTGAAGAATGTGGACAAAGAATACTCAATTTTGTGTTTACTCAATCAAATGTTCGTACTTCCAATTCTCCCTGTTTTTTAATTTCTGAAAACACACAAGGCAACAAATAAAATTCACAGTAGGATTGTACTATACCTCTGTATACCGAAGTGCTGTCTCACAGTCATATTCTTCACGTCAAAAAAATATGGACTGTGTGAGCCTTTAATCATATCTTTGCAGGACTCATTCCAATTGTGCTTCTAGTGCTTGCGCATTTAGTGTAATAAATCATGAATAGGCACAACTGCGTTCGGACATTTGCATCAAAATTTCTCACTTACTCACAACACTGAGGCCAACCACTAGAATAAAGTGGATAATCATGCATCTTTTGCTACCTTTACAAGTAAATCATATTTTTAAGAACGTCAGAAAGTCGATAGATTTTCATAATATCAACCATTCGATTTTAATCTGAACAGGCAAATGAGGTCTAACATAGGTCGCAGAAAGATGAAGGCAACAGCCACAGCAAGTGGTCACCAAGTCGTAACAGTTATAGTTTGAATGTGATAGCGAGGCACTGAATTGACTAAACATAGCAACAAGTAAAGTCGTTGCGTCTCTGATATTCTCATGTTAACCGAGTTACTAATGGTTCTAGTATATCGAATTCCCATAAAGTTAAGCAATCATCATTCAGAATACTATCATTGTAGTAATTTTAGAGATCTGGTTCGTGAGTTACATTCTAGAGTCATTCGTGTTTATACATTTAACAGGAACACAGTAGGAAAGAAAACTAATATGAATTCGGGAGTTAGTCTTAGCGAATACGACATGGCAAGCAACTACTCTCTCTCTGCACTTCTGGCACTTTAGTAGCATTATAGTTCATGTGGCTTCCGAGGAATAAATACAAGAGGTACTTGAGTATCAACTACAAAATAGTGTCACAGAACATCCTACTGAGTTACTTCGTCACACTACACAACATAGGGCGATCCTGAGCGTGAAATGGGGACCATGCTGAATATTCAGAGTCAGACTAAATTGACACTATTTTTACGCTCCACATAGAAAACAGCCAGAGGACTTGAGTATGCGTTTGCTTCACCCACAGGATACAATGTTGTTAGGCTAACCCGACATAGCTAAGATACAGACTGGATACAGGCAGGTTTTTGTTTGTGTGGGAAGCACCACTCATAGCTACCATGCAAAACACCTTGCCCTCAGAGGTATAATCATATACTTACACAAGCCTGTTAAACTTAAGTTCAGATTGTATTACGCACACCGTGTAGGTGTTGGATGCTACCTAGACTGAATATTGTAGCGAGGACCTAGCGAAGAAGCGCTGCTCTGTAACTTAGCCACTTATGGGGTGCGATGATACAGTACGTCATAAACTCACGAGAAATCCTTCTTTAGTTGCTGGCATGCGCAGGCAAGAATTCCATGAAATAGCCACAAAGCTTACGGGTTTTTTTCGACTATGTTCTCATGTACTGATAATTACTGATCCATTAACTTCTTAAATATTTTGAAGATACAGCACACTGTAATCCTTAATGTCTCCGCAAAATTTACACTTATGAGAGCTTATAATATTTTCCGATGACTTATCGAGTAAATAATTATGCAATAATAGAAGCTAAAAATAATTATTCGTTTTTTGATCAACAACAAGCGTATAAATCCACGGGCCATAGATCAAACCATCTAGTCATAGTACTTTAGTCTACTCCTCCCCCCTAGTGGTTAGCAAATCACACACTTCCCTAGGCAACATTTTGACTCTTAAAGGGTATCGGATCGGAATAGGAAATGAGTAGCCTGCAACACTAGCACTAGCCAAGAGTATCTGGACACATCTACTAGTCTCAGGCAATACTATAGACTTCCCATCGCAAGATGTTGTATTATTGATCAATGCTGTATGTAGTGAAATTTTGGACCTCATTTTGCCACAAATATAATAAGATTATATCTACCCAAGAACCATAAAAGATAATTATGGTAGTTAATCAATGATAAATATAGTAGTAGCTTTGGCCCTAGCCCCTGCAGAGTCTTCTGCAGTAAGGACCGCCACCACCCGAGCGACTCCAGAAAAGAAATAAGCCCAGAAGTCTATCATGCACTCCCAGCGGCACTCTCCTATCAACCGCTAGCCGAGCCTGATGTCCCGCACAACCTGAGCATCGGCTGAGTCAGCCATTGTTTGAATTTCCATGCTCGGCACGCATGCGACTCAACAAAATCACGGACTTCAAAGCCCCATGAGCCAAGATCTCGTGCGTTTTAACAGGTGGCTTTCCTTCACTAACATTTTACGAGCTAATCGATCAGGCGCTCATCAAGCACAATTTGATGATCCCAGAGCCGTTCAGTTAATAGACTGCACAGAGCACGCCACCTTCCTGCGTCCTAATCACTGTCAGGACAACCATACACCATTCTCTAAAACCCTGCCTTCATCGTTCGGACACACAATCCTGGAACAATGGTCCAGCTGTACAGAGGGACTGGCTAACCACACAGAGACGTCAAGACAACAGGACAAAACACTAGGACAGTACAAGTAGTTGTCTACAACAGCTGTCGAGTAAATAATGAAAATATTTTATTAATGATGTATGGTACGACTCCTACGTAACACAGGAATTCTCATCACAGTTAGGTTGTGATGTCAACTCCAGACTTTAAAAGGTAAAAAACAAAACAAACCTTGATAATTTATGTACTGTATGGGTGTGGACCATGTTGAATTGACGGTAACGTTATTTGTGGCAAGTGTGAAGCACCTTTATCATAGCCTGACTCAACTTTTATGAATATTGTGAACACAAGCCACACCCCCCAAAGTTAGTTGATCACTAAAACTTTAGTGAGGGATCCTAAAAGGATTGTCACTGAAGATGTTCTTAAAAAAAATTAAAATGTCAATATTTTAAAAATTATTTTTTGTATGTTGGTCAGTAGCACAAAATTTAAATGTTTTTATTAATGGTGTTAAAACCGACTGCCATTTCCTATGTTCTTTTTTTTCCCCTCAGTTCAGGAATTGCCTTAATTTTCTGAAGTGATGGACCAGCTCTCTGTCAGTTTGGACACATTTCCTCTAGCTCATACATGAAATGTATGGAAAATAAAGCAACTGAGATCTTCCATGTTTTTATTTTGTCCTTCAATAAATTCAAACAATTTCCATCTTTTCTCGGTAGTTCCTGGACATATCTGGACTTTTTCTTTCTGTCGCTGTTGGCGGCCTTAGAGACTGTGCAATTTTTTTTCTTTATCTTTTTTCTGGAGTATCTTTTATGGGCAAACATCTCCTACAATGTATGAATGACAAAACACACCCATCAGTATAGTATTATTTCAGATTTGGCTAGTGCCTAGTGTTGCGATCACTTTAAAGCTGTGTGAAGTGATTTGTAACCACTAGGGGGCGAGAGACTCAAAGTAACTTGATAGGGTTTCTATGGCCTGTTACGACTGTCTTGTTAATGAAACTGCCTTATGATACAGAGAATACAGATTAGTTGAGAGCTGCTTAAAATATGAAGTTGATTAGCAGAACATGCGACCCTCATGATAGAATTTGATTTTAACAAAGTGCTAAGTAGAGCTTTGAGGCCCAAAATTTCAGTAATCCCTCAGGTGGTAAAACTGACTTCAAGTAAACTTGTGTAGATAACGGCAAGTTCTTGCAGTCCTCCAAAAACCTGCTGTATCCAGTCTGTATTGTAGGGATAACATCACTGCTGGGTGAGGGCTTATCAGCTGTGTCTAGGACTAAAAAGCCAATTATCCTGAATATTCAGATGGCCACTCGCATTTAAAGAATGTATTTTTTGTGTGAACTATACCTTTATCCGAGAGCACAAACTACTTCAGTGCGAAGATTGTGTCGTCATCCTCGTGTTCTCAGATGACAACAGATCTAATTCTGGTTTCTGAATGTGGAACTTTGCAAAAATGTACCTTAAAAAAACTTAACATGCTTCTTGTGCTTTTAGCATTCTGTGCTTTATTAAAACTTAACTTTCATGGTGAATTCTTTCTGTATGTCTAGACCTCATTTGCTTTCAATTAATCAATAAAAAACCCTCACTCTTACTTTACTGTTAATGTATCCACTTATTTCATTGGCTGTGTTATCAGTAAAATAAGAAATGTGACAAGTTGTGCATTCATGATTTTATTCACTACAATGGCACCACAACATAATCCTGAAATGTTAAGCTAATAGCATGTTCAACAGCTTTACAAATATTTATTTTTTTGGTTTGAAAAAAATGAGTCACTTGTGTAAAAATTCTTCATTACATTCAGGAGGAGTTGCTATGCAGCTGTTAATCACTTCTGCTGGCATCCTATGGCACTGAAGTAACAACACCACCACAAAGTCTCTGATAACATCAGAGTTCAATTACAAAACAACACCATAATTTATTTGAAGACACTTAAGGAGAAACATTTCATGGGTCAGCCCATCAGGTCCGTGTTAGTTTGTCTGCGATGACGGACTACAATCCTGTCTTACATCTCTCACGACGCCTTGAGGGACCTACCAAGTTAAAATCCAGGATGGCTCATACCGCTGATGATCTGAAGTTCCGGATATCCTGGTTTGTGACCTCAAGATACTGCTGCTATTATTTCTAATCTCATCATTTTAACTCATGCTCTCATCTGTGAGCTAGCGAGATAAACTGATAAGAGCCGCCTGTGCATGAAATAATGATTATGGATAACTATCAGTACCAATATCAATCATCTTTTTCTATTCTCACATTTTTATAAATATAAGACACATAATTAACTACAAAAAAAATCTGGATATGCAGTGAATCAATTACAACCTTAAACGTAATAGTGCTGATTATTGAGCATCTGTAAACTACTTCTTTGTCATTTCTCAGAGATGCTCAGCAACTAAACTAAAGACTCAGTCGAAACTAGATCTTATGAGGGATAGACGGATCAAAGTGTTCTGTGCAGTCAGTGACTGTTTAGACTGGGAAGAACATCAATTACACCTCAATATTACCTACAAGGCCCTCCTGCTCACCTATCGCTCTCATATGTCACCACTTCGTGTCGCACTCTCGCCCCTCTTCCTCTAGCATTACACACTCAAGTTCCCCCATCACTTATAACATGTGCATCCACTCAGTTGTGATTACTCTGATGCAGTTGGGCTTGAGCTTATCGAGAGTAGGATTAGTGTAGGGTTAGACGTGATAGGTCGCAAATGCTTCACACAACCATCTTCTGCCTCACGTTTAGAACACACAATCTGCTAGCCCGCTAAAACTGTCATGACAGAAATCTCCCTGGCTGTGTATTTTGTGTATGGCGTGCTAAGTATCATGTGCGCCAGCAAGCGACTCCATTTACCGTACTCCTAGCCCTATTGGCTCAGTGAGTGTGCCGTTCCAGAGGGGAGACCTAGGATCCATATTGTTATATCACGTTGCGTAAATATTGTATATCGACGATCTGCCGATGACTCCTCCCACCCCGGCAAAAAAGAGTCTGATAAGCTAGTTTCCTATCCAATATTATATATGGTACAATATTCCTGATGATAGAGATATAAATATTGCATAGTCTAATCATATATCACGAATGATAGATATACCGCTAGGATTAATGAAGAAGCTGACATGTGTTTACCCACTCCTCTTTACTCATATATATAGAAACTTAATTGTAAATCGCTTGCAACGTTTTATCTTGTGTCAATCTGCGAAATAGCTTGATCAGTCTCAGGACCTTCTATACAATGGCTACAGTGGCTGAATCATCGAGGGGATGCGGATATGTATGATACTGTGCTAGCCAAACATCCACGTACATCTATCATACCCCTTACCTTCAGAGACTACCCCTGCGTTGGTATACTTAGACTCCGTTTGCATCTCTCGACTCGCCAACCACGCTTGTCTAGGGTGATTTATACCAGAGGTTGATTGTAACCTGTAGCTACCTTGAGGTTACTGAAAGTGTGAAACGCTCAGACTCGATCTATGTCCACATGAATTAGAGGCACTGGATCAGGTAGCGAGCGACTGCATTCTCTCTTGTCTCGGTGGTTTCTCGAAGCCGTGTGTATGTGATAATGTGGGTTGAAGCAATCATATATCGCTGGAAGCGAACTGATTCACCAACCCCTCAAGTACTTGCACCAGATATTCTGAGATGGCTGAGGGAGCCCCAAGTAAGAACACTATCATCTCATAGCTCTATCTGATAGTAGGAAACAAGGCCCTGACTATTTGCCCACGATTTATAGACTGTAAGATGCAATCCTGATGACCCTTCAGTGCATCGAATAACTCAGCACTTAGAAGCAATGTGTCTCTTACTAAGATGATATCAATTGTGTCCTTGTCGAGTTGTCATTATAACATGAGCAATAACTTTTTTTATGAAGTGCAGCACATTAGTTAGGCCACAAGTAGTAGAGACGTACAAATTTGATAGTCCTACATAGATGAATCATAGTGCCCATCTGTTATCAATTGCATACATTGTCTTACTCCAATCGCTATTAGCAATGCCATAGGCTCGAACACGGACAAAGTACTGGCCTCAGACTACCAATAACGTGACATATTAGGTATGCGACAGCACATGATAGCATCTCTTGTCAGTAATGCAGAAAGTAAGGTGTGGATGACATGGTCTCATTGACACATACACGATCACGCACCTCTACGTTCAGCGGTTGTCGTTACCTTCTTTACTGTTTGGCGGTGCCTCAAGGCCTTGTCCGTTGGCATGTAGCGAGCTGATCAGTAGCGGCGGAAGGCTGCCTCAATGCGAGCTCCATCTTCGTGGTACTGCTGGAGGACAGTAGAAAGGTTGAAAGCCACCTTTGTCACATAAAAGTTCTGTATGAACCCCAAAGCAGAGTCAATGCATGTGTGCATTGTAGGAATACATGAAGAGTTTTATTCCAAAAAGAAGCCCACTATGTGGCAGATGTAACAAACGCTAGATCAGGGGTCTCGAACACATGGAAAAGCTTCAGGACAGCAGCCCTCGAGGACTGGAGTTCGAGACCCCTGCGCTAGATCAATACATGAAACTGCTGCAGCAGCACTCCGGTCTCTAAAGAAATGTAATAGCTTATCTTTACTTTCACATTAAAAATCCATCTTTATAGGATTGTTCCTTTGTCAACAGTTACCAGCTTGTTTAAAGCATGTGAATATATACATAATGACACAAAACCAGACTGAACAGCTTCAAGACTCCTCATTTCCAATATTTTGGAAATTAACTCTTTTCATAGTGACACTGTGGCGTGTTTCAAATGAATTCAATTCCCTCCATGACCAGGTGCGAGACTCTGATTGTTATTCTCGCTTAGACTTTCCGCTACGTATAGCTCATGCGTCAACAATGCACTTTGAACAGGAGTACGAGAAGACTGGCACTGAGATGACACTGACGTGGCCAGGGCAACAAAGTTACCTTAGGTATCAGCACATCTCGAAGGTGGGAACACATAGGAACATAGAAAGAATATAAACCTACAAGTTGGCCAGTCAACAGAGATGTGGCAGAGTAGAGGCTTCAGTACGCGTGATTCTACTCACCACCAGCAGATGCAGTGGCTATCCGGAGTTGGAGTGACAGGAGGTAGACCATCGGTTTTGGCAATAGGCGCAGGCTCCTCAATCCATAGCGACTGAGAAGTCAAGTCACATGTGCGTGCCCCAATTTCTCTCAGCTCCTGGACCCACAGGGGATTCATAAGAACGAGAACGGTGTAAGCAAGCTCTTACAACTCTTCGCAAGCGTAACATTCTTACATGTACATCTACGCATTATACGTGGGAGTCTTATCGTGGATCTGGCCTGTGTTCTGTCCACTATGTTCTAGTTACGCTGTGGACGAGGGTAAGATTTCTGCAATCTCTTATTCTAAGCATGCTACGTAGGACCACCTAGTTGACATGCTTTTGACGATGTGGCAGACATGCAATCACGTACATACCTTCACAGCTGCATAGTGCAGCCAACCTTCTCAGCTCATCAGCCTCGGCGACAGGTCGTTTCACGGGCCGTGCTCGGCAATAGGAGAGGACGCGATCATAATCCAAAACAAGCATACTGATAACAGTAAACAAGGAAAATCTGAGTGAGCAGTCTGTGGGGAGAGGGTTCATCGAGTGAGCACCAAGTACATCGCATCAGGTGCGACCGCTCATCGACCTCACACCAAAGAGGCTACCTCCCAGCATTACTTTGTTATGCCTAGGCTCCGACTATTTCTTAACCTTGTGCATAAATAGACAACGTATTACGACTCTCACGTCCGCGTAGACTAGCAAGGATGTGAGGTCTATCTCTAGCTCTCATAGATCACATCTAATGTCATCCGCTCAGTTGTACTGGCACGTTGCGTCTTGATGAGGAGGACTAGTCCGTGCTCTATTCAACAGTCTTGCTGCGATTGTGATAACCGCTGCTCGGCGAGGTGGGGTCTTCTCTCAAAAATGGTCTGCATGATACTTCTTCTTACATTCCGTTGGGGTCAAGAGCGGGCAGGTACACCTCTACTATGATCTCAGTGCGTCTGGTGCGACATTAGTTGCAAGTTTGCGTTAGTGCTGCACCATTTTGAGATTAGAAGATGTTTGATGCTGTGACACATGTCTAACACTCTCAAGAGCTGAGCGACATGAACAGAGATGTCGCGTTAACGTAAGCTGACATGTAGGTCTATTAATTGCTTGGCTTGAATATGTCACTACGCCAAAAAGCGCAGGTGGCTATATCTGAGCTGCTTTGTAAAGAGTTAAATCTTGATTATTAACATGCTTTTTTTTGTCTTCATCTCGACTAGTACTAGAACATAGGAGGACTATATTTGTTGTGAGAGAGCATGCGTGTGCATAATCAGTATGCTACATGATACTTGGTGCGAGTTCGTGCGGAGACTACACCGGTATACGATACATCTAGCCAAGATATATCATATGAAGGAGTGATGCGCTGCTTCAGCTGCCGTTACCTCGGATAAGCGGATGAAGTGTATGGTTATATATTGAAATGGGTATATATTTGTTTTTTGTTAAGTTGCCTAATAATTATGCACAGTAATAGTCACCTGCACACACAGATATCCCCCTAAAATAAGCTAAAACTAAAAACAAACTAAAAACTACTTCCAAAACATTCAGCTTTGATATTAATGAGTTTTTTGGGTTCATTGAGAACATGGTTGTTGTTCAATAATAAAATTATTCCTCAAAAATACAACTTGCCTAATAATTCTGCGACTCCCTATAGAAAACACCAGTTCATTTACATGCCAGAATCTGTAAGATCTGAATGTACAGTAGTTTAAATGTCAGTCTTGTAGATTTCAGTACTGATTTCTCTTTTTTCCACCGATGTTTCTGTGGATGCCCTCTGTCATGATG